CCCTGCCACTCCCCTTATCGACCCATTTGTAAACACTATAAGATCATCTGCAAAACACAGATGAGTGATCTCTAGTGCCTTACAACGTGGGTGATAAGGAACCTGATTATCTAATGCTGCCCTCTGAATTAAGCATGAGAAATACTTCATCGCCACAGTGAATAAATATGGGGAAAGGGGGTCCCCTTGTCTAAGGCCCTTACCCCTTACCAGCAGAGAAGTAGCCACATAGACCACCATTAAAAGAAACACTGAGCTTTGGGGTAGTTATACAGGCTTCAATAAGTCGAACATATGAGTCAGGGAACCCCATAGCAAGAAGCATGTTTAACAGGAAAGACCAGTTGACTGAATCGAAAGCTTTCATTAAATCTATCTTCAAAACGCATCTAGAGGTTGTGTTCTTTTTATGGTAATCTTTCACCAATTCACTAGCCATCAAGATATTATCACTTATTAACCTTCCTTTGATGAAAGCAGACTGTGATATGCCAATCACCAAAGGAAGAACAGCTGCAAGCCTATTCGAAAGAAGCTTTGAAATTCCTTTATACAGCACATTACAGCAAGATATGGGTCTGAAATCTTTCATTTTATCAGCATTTGTAACTTTAGGGATTAGAGAGATGATTGTAGAATTCACCTGTGTAGGCATTACCCCTGTATGAAAGAAGTCCAGAACTACCTCCTCCACCAGATTTCCAATTACTCCCCAATCAGATTTGTAAAACTCGGCTGTGAAGCCATCTGGCCTAGGGGCTTTATCATTGGGCATCCTTTTAAACACCTCTCTGATCTCCTCTCTAGTGACTGGTTCTAACAACATCTGCACACCCACTGAATCAAGCCTCTGCCTTAATTGATTCTGGAAATAGTCAACTGAATTGCACTGAACCGCTTTATCAACCTCCCCTAAAAGCCTCTTATAAAAGTCAACTGCTACCTCTCCCATTTGCTTTACCTCTGTTACTTCTGTATTATCATCTTTTACTAGCTTCATGATTGTCTGCTTATGATTTCTCACCCTCACCATAGCATGAAAATAAGCTGTGTTGGCATCTCCTTCTTGAATATTTCGTATCCTTGACTTTTGCCTGAAGAAACTCTCTTCTGCAAGCTGAGTATCATGGCAGAAGGTTGCCAACTCAGCCTCCCTTCTCACATTTTCTGCAGTTGGATCCTGGAGAACTAGCTGCTGCTGTTGCTCAAGAGCTTTCTCTGCTTCTCTAGCTCTCTCAGATATGTCAGAGTACTCAGATCGATTTAATTGCTTCAGCTTGTCTTTGAAACGCTTCAACTTATAGTAGAATTTTTGGTAGGATAGCCCTCTAGCCTCTCCCCCCCATGCCTCATCCAATAGACTCCCATACTGTGGATGCTTCTGCCAGAATTTAAAATACTTAAAAGGCTTTGGAAGTGAGCCTAATTGTGGTTCCAACTCAAGAATCAGACCACAATGGTCTGATACTCCTGGTGCTAACGTTTTGGCTACACTCTGAGGAAAAGAAACCAACCACTCCACATTTACAAGAAAACGATCGAGCTTTTTGGCAATTGGATTTGCCAGCTGCTTGTTCCACCAGGTGAATTGTGAGCCAAGGATCTTATGATCAGTCAGATCCATATCCTTAGCCCATCCCCTGAACTCCAGACCCCCCTAATTCATCACTGCAGTATTCGAAGCCTCTGAAACATCCAGAATAGCATTAAAATCCCCCATGTAAACACCAGGTTCCCCCACCACTTTATATTTCAACAACTCAGAGTATAATTCCACCCTTTCACTTGCTTTATTCGGGCTGTATATAGCTGTGACAATGCAATTAGAAGCCCCTTCAATTCTAACCTGAATAAAGTGCTCCCCCATCTGAACTTTCTGAACCTTCAGACTAGGCTTCCAAAAAAGCCAAACCCTCCCTGAAGCTGAATATGCATAGTTATTTAAATGCTGTCAACTACTAAAATGACGCTAAACAATATCCCCTGCATTCTTCTCCAACACTCTAGTTTCTAATATAGCTGCAAAATCAATATCTAACTTTAATAACTGTCTACTAATATATCTATGTTTCTCAGAGGCATTAAAGCCCCTGAGATTCCAACTCAACAACTTCATTTATTCCTCCTACCCCTCCCCTTCCTAGGAGGGCCTCGATCAACAAGAGCATGACCCTGAGCGTTTAAAGGAACCCTAGCCTGAACAGCAGAGACTGGAACCTTAAGAGCAGAATCATACATAATCCCCTTCCCCTTCCTTGTAACCAATTGGAACCCATCCTCATCAATCAACTTACCTGACCCAGCATAAGAGCTTGTAGGTGTAACATCCTTCCTACAAGCCCCCCTTCCACTTCCAGCTGAATCATCAGTGGACTGTCCAGAGTTATTCGCTTGCCCTTGAGCCCCCTCTCCTGCAACAGATCAAAGCAGTTAGTATAAGCCATAAGGTCCAGAAAAAAAAATATAGATTGAGGATTGAAATTCAATAAAATTTTATTTCATTTGATTTCAAAAATAAGGATAAAAGAATTCTCTTTCACAATTAGACGATCCAGGACTAATCGATACATGAAAAACAAACTACTGGCAATAAAGTTGAATCACAGAGTATGACAAATATAATTATTTCTACAATATCATCGTCGCCAACCCATTGGGATTTGACTAGGCAAAATCAAGATTCATTTTCATATTAACTGTTATTGATAGTACTTTGATTGCAAAGTGATGGGTATTGTGTGTCCTACATTATTGCTATGTCAAACCTATTGGTATTGAAAGAGTCGAGCTAGAAAACCATAGTTGAAGTATCTGAAAATGATGTCCTCTCATTTTATAACTCAACCAGACATTTACTTACGTTAGGTTAAGTCCAATGGAGTCCCTATAAATAGGGAAGTTTCCATAAATGGAGTAGTGTCATCTCCAATGCATCATCATAAATGGATAGAGTCTCCATATTTGGGGAAATCTGCAAAAGGATCCCAAAATTGGGGATGGAAATGGGGATTCCCCCAAATATGGGGAAGATGTGCTGGATGGCGGGCGGGACAACTGCCAGCGGCCAGCCCGTTACCTGGCTTTTTTTTCTTTTTAAGATGTTAGAAGTTAATTGGGGTTTAATTAGGTCAATCATTTTTTGTCGAAAAAAAAATTTGGTCTCGAAATTTTAAAAAAATTATAAAAAAATTTGTGTTTAAAAATGATGATAAATTGTACAAAAATTAACATGAACAAATTTTATTAAAATGGTCATAAGTATATTTTTAAATAAAGAAAAATAATGAAAATGGGGATTATCTTCAAATTTGAAGATGGTAACATTAAAGAAAAATGATGAAAATGGGGATCATCTCAAATTTAGAGATGAAGGTACCAAATTTGAAGAATAGCATTTAAGTTGGTCTCAATATCTCTTTCGACGTCGGCGACGTTAACGATTCAAGCACGACAAAATGAACTAGTAGGGACGTCCAAAATATCCAATTCCAAGAGTCCACATTGGGGTTTACCAAAAAGTCCAGTAAACTATCAATAAGAAGAATTGAGTGAACGAGAGTACGAGACGACACCCCCTTTCTTTATCTTAGGCTACACGTATCAGTTTTGGACGTTATCCCAAAGCGTCAAGTGACGACAGAAGCTATGGAAGTTGGAACTTGATACGACGAAACCACCCAGCTAAAGAGCGACAATTTTTTAAAAGCACTAATTGTAGTGTCTAATACATAATGGTTGTTGGTAAAATACAAAATCCTACCTACTTTTTGAATCCGATACAGATCTGACTGATGAATAATAACGAATACCTCGTTAAAAATAAGTTTGAGAGTTATTAATATATCTTTATCCTTTTGTTATTTCGCGTACCTCGCATTTGATTCAAAGAGTATTAAAATAGAGTATCCATCCTTTATCTGTATTAAAAAAGAAAAAAAAATTGTTGGTTGTTGACCCAAAGGTTTGAACCCATGATGGAATGGATGTTCTCATACCCACATTACCACCTGGCCAACTTGTTAAGGTTCATTAAAAATGTAAATTATTAACAAAAGAGTTACCAAATATATTGATTTTCTCCATAAACATATTCTAAATTCAAGCGCAATCAATGGGAGATAATTGAAAACTAGTGCATTAAACATGGAATGTTCAACACATGGAATACAGAGATATTCATCAAATTCATTTTAATAATATTTTTCGGTCTATAGTTCTCAATATTGCAACAAAATTGTGAGAAATCCAACAATACATAATATCAAAAGTTCGGAACAGATAATATGCAGTTTCCCTACACTATTGCAAACAATCCTCAAATATTCCAATCACTCAGGATCCCTTATGCATCTAATTCTTCTTTTGTTTACGTAAATTGTTGGCCTCGAACCAAGGTTGACCCGCGGGTTGATCCGAATTGGCCCGGACCCAGCTTTGAAAACGGGTTAAAATAGCCCATTTGAAAGTTAGCCCGGAATTTGTCAAACCCGGAAAAACCCGGTAAAACTCGGGCGGTTGGCCCGTCCGAGCGGGTCAGCGAGCTGCTCGTTTCAAAGTGTCGTTGAATTTTTACTATGTCGAATTTAAGTTGATGTTATTTAAGTGTGTTAGAGTTTAAGTACGGTTGTTTTTTTTATGTTGGATTCAAAATAAGTACAATATAATGAATTTTTCATATTTTTGGGCTAAAATGGGTAACCCATTAACCCTTGACCCACTAGCTTGACCGGGTCCGAATCGACCCGCGGGTTAACAACCTTGCCTCGAAATATATGTTGAATTTTATCAAGTTTTTATTTATTTTATGTCGATAAATGCGACCTTAAATAACCAATTGATAGTAAAAACTCTTACCTATTTTTTTAATGAAATGAAATTCTCCTTTTTAATATAATTCTGAAGAGATTTTTTTATGGGAATTATGAAGAGATTTATGGTAGAAAGGATATCCACAGATAAAACCCCTATGGTAAAAAAACAAAACTCGAATAACTAATTAGAAGATAAAAGAAATGACGACACCGCTTTCCAATGTTTTCGCCCAAACGGCAAATACACTGGGCGGGCAATTCGCTTGCCAAAAATCTGATCTCTCAACAATGTTCTCATCCTTATGCCATCACTGCTGCACCCCTTCTATTTTTTTTCCTCTTCCATCCCCCGCCACCAAGCCTCTTTCGTTTTCACGGCCGCTACGGTTCGCTCGCCGTCTCCGTCTCCGTCTCCGTCTCCATCTCCATCTCTCCCCCCAACAAGTCTTCTTATATTCAAACTCTCCCTCCTTCCTAATCCCTCCAACCAACAACCAAAAACCTTCTCCACACTCTCCCCGTCCATTCTCCTCTCTCTCTGCTTCTCCCCTCCAAACGTCACCGCCATCAACAATGGGCTCGCTCTCCGCTCCCGACGGCACCGGAGGAGTACAATTGCCGTATCCTCCAGCACGCAGAGACGAGTCCGTCGTCGAGGATTACCACGGCGTCAAGGTCTCCGATCCTTACCGATGGTAATGAGTGGAAGCTTTCTCGTGCTTTCTTTTCTCGTTTCCCGGTTGCATTCTACCTGTTTGTGGAAAAGCGGCTGAGAAGGAAAATACTTGTTTGCGTGTGTTTTGTTTTGGTAGGCTGGAGGATCCTGATTCGGAGGAGACCAAGGCGTTCGTGGAAGAGCAGGTGAAGCTGACTGATTCGGTGCTGAGTACTTGCGAGTTGAGGGAGAAGCTCAAGGAGAGGATTACGAAGCTGTTCGACCATCCGCGCTACGAAGCGCCGTCCAAGCGTGGGGACAAGTACTTCTACTTCCACAACACCGGCCTTCAGGCCCAGAGCGTCCTCTACGTTCAGGTAACTATTAGAGAGAGGGAGGAGGATGGAACTATAATATGGATAGGGAGAACGGCTGTATGATTTCTAAGCTTTGTTTCGAATGATCGAAACAGGATGGCTTGGAAGGCAAGCCAGAGGTGTTGCTTGACCCGAATACGTTGAGCGAGGATGGCACGGTGTCGCTAGGGACGCTAAAAGTGAGTGAGGATGGGAAGTACTTGGCCTACGGGCTTAACTCGAGTGGGAGCGATTGGATAACCATCAAGGTCATGCGGATTGCGGATAAGAGAGTTGAGGAAGACACAATATCATGGGTGAGAGGACTTACTGTCGATGGCTATCTATCTTTTGAAAGTCTGTTCTCATCGGTTCTATGGGTGTTTGAGCTTACTTGTTCTGTTTCTCAGGCAAAATTTACCGGGATCAGTTGGACACATGACAGCAAAGGGTTCTTCTATAGCCGTTACCCTGCTCCCAAGTATGTTCAAACCCTCACGCCTGTTGTATCCTTCCTTGTTTGTTGAACGGTTCTGGTTTTGTATGATATTCCAATAGTTTAGCTGATTCAGGGAAATGCGAAATTCTAACCAGCCAGTGTTTCGTAATGCCAGTGTATTAAAAAGGACATTCAGCTCAACTCTATCCTAGTTTTGAATCTAGTTTCGGAACCTAAATCGACTGAAGGATGGATATCCAGCCTTTAGTTCCGTTGTATGCTAGTGTATTGAAAAGGGCATCCAAACTGTATTCTAGTTTAAAATCTAGACTCCAAACATCTGGATTGGTTTGGGAGATGAAAGGAACAAAGGAATTTTCTTCATTTTCAAAAGGATTACATGAAAGGGTGGTGTTATTCAGAGTATGGCTATGAACTGATGCTCTACGTTTGTTCTGCAGAGATGGAGAGAAGTTGGATGCTGGGACTGAGACTGATATCAATCTGTATCAAGAATCATGTTACCATTTCTTGGGTACAGATCAATCTGAGGACATACTGTGTTGGAGAGATCAAGAAAATCCCAAGCAAATCATGGGTGCGACAGTGGCAGACGATGGGAAGGTATATTTTCTTTCTGCTGAGTGCTCCGGACAGGATATGACCAGGGTCAAACATCAATTTGGCCACCCAACTCGCATATGTGTATAACTTTGAAACTTGAACTCATAATTGAGATAGATAACTGAAACACCAACACCAATCCAATTGTTATCATTAGCATTTTCATTTCTCCGTTTACCTCTATTAGCACTAAAAGCTGTCACCTCAGCAACATGATGTCAAAGATCAACGAAGGCAACAAAAAATGCTTTTGATGATTTATTAGGACAAGTTCAATGTTATAATTATCTCAACGCGAAGTTCAATGCCTTACTGTGATAGACATAGTGGCACAACCAGTTTTTAACTGGACATGACCCCATTCACACAGGTGATATTGGTGACCAAATAGGTATTCAGCCCGTCGCAACTCTGTTTATAGTTCACTCGGAATGACTGATGTCTTAGTTGTTTAATGTTCTTGCAGCATCTTCTCCTATATATAAGCGAGGGGTGTGATCCAGTCAACAAAATATACTACTGCGATATTTCTACACTTCCTGGAGGACTACAGAGTTTCAGGGGATCAAACAAACTTCTCCCTTTCACTAAGCTTGTGGATAACTTCGATGCTAAGTACGAAGCGATAGCAAACGATGGCGCCTCATTCACTTTCCTGACCAACAAGGATGCTCCTAGGTATAAGCTAGTCCGGGTGGATTTGAATGACCCGAGTTCATGGACAGATGTTGTCCCGGAATCCGAAAAGGATGTATTGGAGTCAGCAGATGTGGTCAATGGAGACAAATTGATACTGAGTTACCTGAGTGATGTCAAGAATGTGTTGGAGATCAGGGACCTAAGAACGGGTTCATTTCTGCATCAGCTGCCTATTGATATAGGTACCGTGACTGGGGTATCTGCAAGGAGACAGGACAATGTAGCTTTTATAGGATTTACAAGCTTTCTTTCCCCTGGAATTATCTACCAATGTGATTTTGGATTTGGAGATCCAGAATTGAAGGTATTTCGGGAAACCATTGTACCTGGATTCGATCGCTCAGAGTTCCAAGTGAAGCAAGTGAGTTCTTTTCCTCTAATTCTTTCAGCTTGGATGGATTTGATTAGATTTCTGCGCACATTAAACAATAGCTGCAGTGAAATTGAAAGGCTTCAAAATAGAGATATATGTTGCTGCGAAATTGAGATATAACGTGTGTTGCTCACCTGCTGCTGCTCAGGTTTTCGTGACTAGTAAGGACGGCAACAAGTTCCCAATCTTCATTGGGTCGAAGAAGGACACAAAACTGGACGGATCGAACCCATGCTTGCTATACGGATACGGTGGATTCAACATCAGCATCACTCCATCCTTCAGCGTTACTCGGGTGACACTCGCGAAACATTTGGGTGCTGTCTTCTGCATGGCCAACATCCGCGGAGGTGGAGAGTATGGCGAGGAATGGCACAAAGCAGGGTCGCTCGGCAAGAAGCAGAATGTCTTCGACGACTTCATCTCTGCCGGTGAGTATCTTGTGTCAGAAGGCTATACCCAGGCGAAGAAGCTATGCATTGAAGGCGCGAGCAACGGTGGTCTCCTCGTCGGAGCCTGCATAAATCAGGTACGAATTAGTTAGTTTGGTGCCGCACCAAGTTATATCAATTCAAGCGAAGGCTGATTTGAGACTTCCTTATTTTCGGTTATCAGAGGCCGGATTTGTTTGGCTGTGCGCTGGCTCATGTTGGTGTCATGGACATGCTACGATTTCATAAGTTCACAATAGGTAAGAATCTTTATCTCATGGTAGCAACTAGAAATCACTAGCTTCATTTATGTTGCTAGAACACTTCGTTTTTCTACAGGCCACGCTTGGACTAGTGATTATGGCTGTTCAGAAAAGGAGGAAGAGTTCCATTGGCTGATCAAGTAAGTGCAACTCAACCAACCAAACCAAGGGCAACAATTTAATCCGTACTAAACTGAATCTGACCGTATCAGACTGGATTGAAGTATAATTTGGTCTAGATTCTATACTAGAACCAAAGGAAAAGATGTTCTGGGTTTGCATTTGATCCAGTTATAGTCCTTAATGATTCTTTACATTAGATATGATGATTATATACCGATTCGGCTTGATTCTGGACCGAATCAGACTATGCCAGTCCTAAAGAACAAATGAACAGAATACCAATCTGATCTTCATACCTGGATTGTATACTTAGATTCAAATTTTCCATTGCTGTGTTTCTCTGCAACTTGTGCAGATACTCTCCACTGCACAATGTGAGGAGACCATGGGAAGTGAGCCCCGATGTTCAGTACCCTCCGACCATGTTGCTGACTGCTGATCACGACGATCGGGTCGTTCCACATCACTCTCTGAAGCTGCTGGCGGTGAGTTGATGATCTCTCGTCAATCCTCGTACAAGAAAGATTCCTGATACCTGATCCGAACTTGATCATGATCTCCGATTACTTGTGCCTCTCTTTTCGCAGACGTTGCAGTATGTTCTGTGTACCAGCTTGGAGAACAGCCCACAAACCAACCCGATCATCGGCCGGATTGACCGGAAGTCCGGCCATGGCGCCGGCCGTCCGACTCAGAAAATGGTAGGGGAAATCTATGGTCTCTTCGATTCCGATATCTTTTTGCTGATCAACCGGCGCTTGCTTGACTCATTATTGTCTTGCTGGCAACCGTTGGCAGATTGATGAAGCGGCGGATCGGTATGGGTTCATGGCGAAAATGGTAAACGCAACATGGACCGAGTAGAAACATAAATGAGAGGGATATCACGATCCGAGCTCTCTCCGTCGGTTGATTCCATCGGAATGAGGTTTTTTTTTTTTTTTGCTCACGTTGTAAGATAAGGATCTAAGGGTATTTTCCACGGCTATAGTTTATGTGGGAGGATGGTGATTAAATGCTCTGGTTTCAGAACATTTATGGCAATGGTACCCACCAACAAAGTAATGGTTCTATAACTTGTTGCATTTTGTTAGGTGAAGTGCAACTTGTTATATATCTAATTATTTGCTCGAGTATTGTACCATATGAACATCGACATACGATGATTATTGCATATAATAGATGCCTATTCAAACTCAGATTCCTTTGGAGTAGTTTCTAATTCTCATTGAATAATCATCTTCGCTATAAATAATTTTACAAAATCGCGAGTAGTTACAAATCACAATGTGGGTTTCATGGGGGATTTTTCCAATAATAGCATCTTTTAAAAAAAATTACAAAACTAGCACCCAACCAAAAATATTTACAAAAATAGCACATTTTAAATCAAACCACACCTCCAAGGTGCGTTTTATAAATAAACTGCAGCAGGACAGTGCGTTTTAACTATAAACCGCACTTTAGAGGTGCAGTCCAATCCACGTCAGTAAATGCGCCGCATCATCCGAGTGCGGTTTGTGTTTTCTGGGCAGCGGGGTTGGAGGCCGTCGGATGGGGCTGCGATCCAAGGGCGGACCGCATGCCACCTCAGCAATCCGCGTAGTGGAGCCTCATACCGCACTTGCAGGATGCAGTCAGCGCCTCGGGAAAGCAGACCGCATCGTAAGGGAGCGGTTTCGCTAGGGGTAAAATTACCAGACCGCCCCTGAAGAGTGCGGTCTGAGAACTATAAATACCCCCCTTCCCCCCTCATTTCTTCACACCACAACCCATTCTTCCCTCTCTCTCTAGAATTATCTCTCTAAACCCTCCCCTCCCAAAAGTCTAGGAAATCGTGGTCTGTTGGTTGCGGCTAAGTTTGATCCGCCATCAGAAAACATTTCTTTGGTTTTTTCCTCAAAACCCGCCGAGCCGAGCCGAATCTCTGTCCGAATTTCCCGAAAAAAATGAGCGAGTGGTGGCAAGGAGAGGGAGTTTATGTTGATGAATTTCAAGCGGTACGTACTCATTATTCTGGTCAATTTTTGTTGTTGTTATAAGCTTTTTAATTAATCTATGTACTAACCTCGTTGTTATTTTCTCGTAGGTTGGGGACGACGTGGATATATACAACCAACTTCTTCTTCATATGACGGGAAAGATTGATGATGACCTTCACCTTGCTCTTGGTACTGAAAATAGGAATGAGGATCATGGTAACTTTGGTAGGGATGATCGCCATATAATTCACCTCCACCATGGATACCATATGTTTGACCGTGTCCAAAATGACCTCCAACGCCAACGTCCGCCTCGGTGTAAACGAACATCTCGGCTTTGGAAAAGATTGTTGGACCTCAAGAATTCGAGCATGGAATCTACTTCATCCTGAGTGGTTATGAGATATTCCTCATGCCACAATGACCCACTTTCTCTGTTTAGATATCGGTACACCATACGATCAACTCTTCTCGTGCCATCCATGCAAGTAACGTTAGTGCACATTTGATGGAGGTCTTTAAGCAACGGTCTGGTAGCGACCTTTATTTCTGAAAATTGTCACCGACGTAGGTGACCCCCTTTCCGGTCTCTTCCGTGTAACCATTCCACCGTAAGCCAAGCGTGAACTTTTGGAATGCCATCTGCAAAAAAAAACCGTAGTTCAGTTAATATCATAAAAATCACAAATCACAAATAACAATAAAAAGTAATACAAAATAAACTTACGAGTTAATGTTAATCGCAAAAACACCAAAGAAATATAGAGCTACAACAGAAAATTGAAAAGGGAGAAGGAGAGGTGTGAAGAGAAGAGGTTTTCTAGACAGTCTTTTATAGGCAAAATCAATGATGAAAACCGCACCTTAGAGGTGCGGTTTTCGTCTGCCATGCAGCCCCACGTCTGTTATTCTGCATGGCTATATGTCTGGTGTCGGAAAATTATTAACACACAAACCGCACTGGGGGTGCGGTTTGTGTGGCAAAACCACACCTTGGGGATACGGTTTTGTTTTGGAGAAACAAACCGCATCTCCAAGATGCGGTTTTTGTAGGTCAGGCCAAAACCGCACCTCGCCCATGTGGTTTCTGTAGGTCAGACGTGAAACCGCATGGCCAAGATGCGGTTTTGGCCCAGGATAATAAACCGCACCCCCCGCACCTGGAGGGTGCGGTTTATATATAAAATGCACTTTGGAGGTGCGGTCCATAAAAAGGGTGTTATTTTTGTAAATATTTTCGGCTAGAAGCTATTTTTGTAATGTTTTTTTTAAAAGGTGCTATTTCTGAAAAAGTTCCGTTTCATGAAATGGTTAGTGATCGAACTCGCTAATCACAAAATGTAAGGTAGAATTAAAGGATAAGAAGACCAGGCAAGAAGGATGTCTATCCTGGAGAAGTTGTTTAATTACGGCAAAAAGGCTGCCTAAGCATCTTAATGTTACTAAAGCTTCATTGTCGACTTATGAAGTTCCTTTTTAAAGAACACACAAGTCCCAATAACTTCCTTCCAAAAAAAAGGTTCCAATATTTAGAGCGTAGCGGTAGCGGTAATATGAAAATTTTCCTACCACAACTTGACAAGTCCTCTACCATCAGAGTATCGCAGTTACTGTAACTACAGCAAATTCCTATCTTAACTAATAGAAACAACTATCAGCTGACATTAAATCGTAAGAATAACAAAGGGAAGTGATCGCAGCTACTTTCGAAGACCAAAATTATGTAGACACGACACTGTTCACATGTTAATAAACGAATTTAGAATTCGATCAATACAAAAACTGGAGTTCCATACCGCAACAGATACCAACATCACACGAAAAACTGGGGGAGGATTGGGGAAGTGATCAGTTCAACAATCTGACGGTTAAACAACAATTCAGTGCATAAGATTGATTGGCCAAAATGGCAAGAGCCCCATTCCTCCAGAGAGAAACAACAGGCCCAATCATGTTTTACATTCTATCCTCTCTCCTTCGTGGCGCGCAAGTGATTATCTCATCTACCCTGAGGATCATTTCGGCAGCCTCAGTTGCAGAAAGCAGTACCGCTTGCTTAACCTTGAATGCCTCTGAAATCCCTAGTTCTGACATATCTCCTACCTGCAAGGCATTCGATTACGAGGGCAAGGTCAAATGGTGAAACTTAATATAAAAAAGCTCGTTTACTAAATCAAACCTCAAACATGTAGGACTTGGGGAAGCCAAGAGACTGAGTAAGGCATAACAGTAAGATGAGTCTGAGGTTTCCCACGTTCAACTCATGGTCTAGCTAAGAAATGAAGGGAGTTCAACAATTGTGATTCCATACTACTTACAGATCCAGAGATGACATCGATCCCAGCATTAGATTCCTCCTTGTTGTGCTCTGCTCTAAGCCGGGCTACTAGCTCAGCACTGTCTAAACCAGCATTATCTGCAATGGTGGTTGGAATAGCCACTAGAGCCTTGGAGAAAGCCTCAATGGCATGAGACCTCTTCCCCGGGGTCGTTCGAGCAAGCTCATCTACTGCCTTAGCCATCACCATTTCTGGCCATCCGCCTCCAAACAAAACCCGGCTATCATTCACGGTCTGTGATAACACACAGAGGGCGTCGTGTAGTGACCTCTCTGCCTCATCGAGCACATGATGACTGCACAAGGTAAAAAAGCATATTTCTCTCACTAGGCATTACATGTTTGCATGAACACCAAATTAACAATGAATTCAGAAACAAAGGATTGAGCTCTAGTTTAAAGGCAAAACTCAAGAAAGAGCATAAATCACCAAAGGTCCTGAATAAACTAGGAATACTAGATGAAACAAATACTAAAGGATTACCTTGCACCCCGCAGTACAACAGTGCATGCCTGGCCCATCTCAACGCCAGAGAATTTAATTAGCTTGTCCTCTCCAATCATAATTTCCTCAATAAGCTTACAGTGTCCAAGCTTAACAGACTCAGGATTGTCAAAAGTTGAGGCAATTTCACCACCTGTAACTAAAGCTAGCCGTTCAATCCCATCGAAATCAGCATGCTCAATTGCAAGTACTCCAGCATTTGCAAAGAGTTCTTCGGGGAAATTGTAAATCAACTGCCGGTTAACAAAGCAATTAATCCCATGGGCTAGGATCTTGTCCACCTTTTCTCTCATCTTCTGCTTTTCAGCTGCTTCAATATCAGCAACCTTAGCCATTGAATCAACACGAACACGCGCACCATAGATCTTTACTTTATCCGTGTCCATTGCAGTGTTGGCCACCAAAATATTGGCATTTTCAATCCGCTTTGGTTGTCCAATTCCGATTTTCTTGTCAAGAATAAACCTGAACAGTGACAGACACTGATTTAGTGAAGACTGTTGGGAAAACATGGAGGCAGCATGCTACTAAGAAGCCACAAAGGTGAATACGTTCACATATACCCACCCTTCATCCAAGAATGAATCCTTAAGGGAACCACCAGGCTTCTTGATAATTTGGATGGATTCTAAGTTTGTGCTGCCCTGTAACCAAGTATAAACAAACCAACTCAGTAGGAATAGGAGGCAGGATCAACAGAGTTTGCCCGAACAATCCAAAACCTCAAACAATGTGAGACATCCAATCAACAAGTCTATAGACAACCCCCTTGCACATTGTTCTATCTACTACTAAAGTCCACACATGAGACCAATATCTGGAACCCAGCCGTCAGTCACTGGCATGTCAGAGTCAGACCCAAGATTATATCATCTATGCACAGAAGATATAAGAACTCTTGGTTTGCAACAAACACCTAAACTTAAATGAAACGTTGACAGGGACAGACTCATTTCAAGAAGAACATAAATTCATAACTCAATAAACCCTTCACCTTTAGCCTCAAAACAGCATCAACAGCCAACTTGGCAAAATGTTCCTTATCTTGTGATAATATTTTTGAACTCAAAGTTGTCTTTGCAATCTTCATCAAGTCCATCTTGAACTTCTCTGCAATTTGATCATTTGAGCTAGTTAGACATATATGCAAGTACAACCACATTAAGGCATGACGCTTAGCTTTAGAACAAAATCGCAAGTCCCAGAAAAGGACCAGCATTAACAAAGAGCAGTTGGAAGTCAAAACCCTGGACCACAAAAAATCATAACAAGTACCTTCATTTGTTTTATTATCCACAACCCTTTTCAGCAGAGCCTCTCGAGCACACTCTGCTGCCATTCGAAACCCTGAAATTAAAACATATAACAATTTCTCGTTGATATTCGTCATCACAATAAGCACAAGTCTGGCAGTGAATTGGTGTCTATGGCCAAAAAGTCAGATGCAAATGTGTAGAGAAACGTGGACATGATTCCACACAATGAGAGAGTAAAATCGAGCTAAATATTTTATAAAATGGGTTTTAGTAAACAGATTGCAACCACACGAAGTGTTAAACAATGCAGCTGTCTGATAGCACTTCGGTGACGATAACCATAGATTATTTATATCAATAGGGAAATTCCAGATACCATGAGAGAGTAAAGCTGAGCTAAACATTATTCTTTGAACTGTAGTAACCAAGGTTGACATCACTCAAATGAACTGAGGAGAGAACCCAAATGCAATGGTGAAATGCCCGGAGCAAACCTGCTATAATGGTCATTGGGTGGATCTTTGATGCAACTAGTTTTTCAGCCTCCCTCAATAGTTCACCAGCCAAAACAACTACAGAAGTTGTCCCATCCCCAACTTCATCATCTTGAACTTTTGAAATGTCTATGTAGAGTTAAGGATCATCATCAAGATGTATACTTTTCACCATGCTCCAATCATTTCTACCACAACAGTAGTGTGGCAAAAACAATTGATTAACTGCAACTGAATCTCATTATACCAACACCATTAAAACGAAAACAGATAGGACAATGCGAACCCAAACAAAATGAGATTTGCCACAGCAGGTGAATGAAACAACATTAGTAAGGATACCAACAAGAACTTTGGCTGCGGGGTTGTCAATGTGAAGAGACTTCAAGATGGTAGCTCCATCATTGGTCACAGTCACTGATTGACCTCTTCCAGTAGACTGCAGGATCTTGTCCTGGGAAGGGAAACAACGAGAAAGCTCAAGATAGTTAGTTACTAAACATAGACCCAGTACAAGCCCACACTCCAGAATCTCGGAAAATAAAGCCTACCATCCCCTTAGGACCCAGTGTTGTCTTGACAAGATCAGCAATGGCCATAGCACCAACAAAAGATGCCTAAGAAAGAAAACACAGCGTTAAATCGCTTTCGTATAACAGATCAGGTTATCCAGCTACTTCAATTAAACTAAGTTCAGAGGAAAACTCACCATTCTGGCACGCTCTCCTTTCTCTTCACTAGCATCGTCTTTAAGAATCCTTTCTATCTACAGCACACACAGCATAACCAGATCGTTCACAAAAGTCAGGAAATGACGAAGCAGAAAACAAGAGGAGAAGAACCTATCCCAGAACCCAACTCACCGCCATTGCGAAATGGATATAGATTTACACCGGCACTCAAAACCGAAATCTGAAAAGACAGAGACAAAGGAAACTAAGTACTGTGCAGAAAACTGAAACCCTGCGCTATTCAATTGAAAGCTTCGTTCATCCCATTTGGAACACAAAAAAGCGAAGCCGGACTATTTGCTACAACCCGATGAGTTCAGATTTCCCCGGAAACAAACAGAATATCAACGGATTAGAATAGAAGCTGAAAGATGAAACCCTAGACTAACACGACGAAGGAAGAGCTACTGACCTCGAGGCAAGCTAGGAAGAAGTGTTAGAAGAGTGGGATTTATGGCAATTGTTCGCAGAAAGGCTTTTGAGAGATGGAGATCGCGCCGAAAACAACTTAGGTCATGGAAAGCAAACGGAGTGATTCGCTACGGGCAGTCATACGGCTTAAGCTGGACTCCTTTATGGTTTGAAGTTTGAACTTGGATTAGGTATCGCAATGGACCGGACCGGACCGGGTCGGGTTATAAGATAAAAAAATATTTGTTACGAGAATAAAAGTTCAATATTATTTTTCGTGTACAAATTATCTAAACAAAAAACACTAATCTAAACCATACAAGCAAATAACATGATTAATTGAAAGCTTCTTTCTCATTATCAACTAAACTTCTTCACTCTCCATCCCCATAATATCAACTCCATTCTACACAATTAGGAAAAACAAATTAGACATGTCTCCACGAACATAAGTAAGATTAGTATGAGGGAATGCCAAATGAAAAGTGGATAAGGGATTCGTGGTTGGAGATGGGTACGAGTTAGATATAGCTAAACCCCAGTGGCGGATCCAGAGCTGGGCCAACCTGGGCCTGGGCCAGCCCTCCTTTGGATCCAGAGGTTATATTGAGCCCCTCCACATTTTTTGGCCCACTGCTAATCATGCTGGCCCAGCCCTCTCGTCCGCCTCCCAAACACCAAATGATGGAGCTATGGACTCCAAGATAGCTAGTTGTATCGTGAAGTGGGTAATGGGTAATTGTTGGGCTTAGGGATGGCAATTTTGACCTGGCCCGTTTTACCCGACCTGTTTGGCCTGTTTTTGGTGGGTTCGACTCGCCCCGTAGGCGGGGCGGGCATGAGTACCTCTCGTCGACCCGAACTGTCCTGACCCGCCCCATTCTCGACCCGTTCTTGCCTAAATTACATGTAATCTTGGTAAAATTACTTAGGATTTTCCTCTTATTACCTCATATAATAGCTATAATAAAGTTGTTATAAGTGAAAACCACAATTTCTCAAATAATTTAACTACATTTTATCATAATATGGTTTCTTTCTTGGTCTTTTAATGAAAATAACGAATAGTTCTTATGTTTTTCACATAAATTACATATCCATTGGGTCGACCTGCCCTGACCCGTGCCCCATGATAAATTACCCGACCTGGACCCGACCTGCCACGGGGCGAGTATTGGTATCGAGATACTCAGCCCAGACCTGCCCCATTGCCATTCCTAGTTGGGCTTATGTATGTGGGTTTTGGATTATTAGTGCATGAGCTTAATTAGAAGATTAGTAGTGCTAGGTTGCCAAGTTAGCTAAGGAGAAGTGAAGGGTTCGGCTATAGTTAGGCTAATAGGTAGGGTTACATATTATATAAATCTATTTGCGGCGTTAGTCTTGAGAATCAATCAATAAAAAACAAAAGGTTTTTTTATATTAATTTTGGTCTCTCACTTGTGAATTACAAGTAAAACTCTGGAACCGTAAGTTATAGTTCATCACCAAAACTGTGATGTTTGATGCATATGTGGTTTGGATGGGGGGATTATTGCTAGTATTAGCTTCTTTATTTGTTTAAAAACGTTTCATGGATAGGGGTTTGTGAAGGGTCAATTAGGAGTAGTAGCAAGGTTGTCAACCCGCGGTTGACTCGGGGGTCGGCCCAACTTGACCCTGACCCGGTGAGAAAAATGGGTCACACGCACCCGTCGGGCCGACCGCTACAAGGTACCGGGTTAGAGGTCAAATTGTGTCTTTTTTTTCTTTAGTTTGCGAAATGCGCCTATTTTTCGATTTTTCTTTTCGCCTAACTCAATCTTTAGAATCCTAAGTTGAACATTTGAATATTTATGATATATAAGTGTGTGTGAATTTTCACTATATGTTGGATCTAAGTACAATATACTATTTTGGTGTAATATTATATGTTATAACTCATATGTTAGATAAGATTTGATATAATTTATGAGGATAAGTACAATATAATGACTCTTTCCATATTTCCGGGCCAAACCGGGCTAAAACGGTTGACCCATTAACCCTTGACCCACTAGCTCGACCGGGTTCGGGTCAACCCGCGGGTTGACAACCTTGAGTAGTAGGGGTTACGTGGGCTATTAGTGCACGAGTCTAGTAGTGCGTCGGTAGTAAATGTGCCGAGTAGAATGAAATGGAGCCTTTAGAATATTGGGAGTTTGTAAATAGAAATCGAGAAGTAGAGGTTGTTTATTTGGAGAAATGCTATGGACAAGTGACCTAATTTTGAGAATAAGAGATGACAAGGAATTAACCATTAGAATTAGGAAGTGAATTAGAAAGTTTTATACAATTACTGTGCTATTTGATTTTGTAGATTTGAAGATAATGACAAACTTATTTGAAGAGTTCTAATTATAGACAAACTTGTTGAAGAAAATGAGATGCATTCTTTTAAGAATGAGGTACCATATTATATACTCTCAAATTTGCGCAAAATTCATTAACCATATGTAATTGTCTATTCAAATATGGCCCAATGCTCTACAAAATCCTGGATCCGCCGCTGCTAAACCCGAACCCAACTCGCAAAATAGTAAACGGGTTTAAACTCTAAACCCGAACCAAACACATTCGTAAATAAGAGTTTTATCCGCGTTGACTATATTGGGTCAGGTAGGGTACCTACGGGTTCAGATTATGTCGTCATCCCTAACATGGATCGAGATGGAATTGACGGACGGTGAGCGAGGCACTTTTAATCAATCGTGATGGATTGTAATTTGTAAAAAAGTCTTATGGGGTCGTTTGGATGGAATATTGTGATGGATCAATTGTACCAAATTGTCTCATTATGAGTCAATTGGGCCTAATTGACCCGTTTGGCATACAAAACGAAGAATGAAGCAATTTGGGGCCGGGACAATCAGCGTTGGCGCGTTATGGGGTAATTGTAATTACCTGGTGTTGGGGGGGGGGGGTTCATATTGGCCCGTTGTGTGCTTTTTATTTCCAAAGTTGTCCCTGCCTTTTAACTGTAAACCCAAGTGTGCCCTTTATTCACTCTTTACCTTTTCAGGCTCTCTTTCTTTGCTGTCATTTTATCTCTCCATCGTATCTTGTTGTTGCCAAAGGAAGAAGGAGTAAGCTATTGTTCCCGCAACGATCTTCTTGCGGTTTCTGGATCAATTGGAGGAGGAACTAGTGATTCTACTCATCAAAGATTGAGCCTGGTACCTTAATTATATTTACCCTTATTCATTTTGTCCTTATTAGAATTAAAAAAAAAACCCACTCGTAAACCCTAATAAAGAAATTGATGATGAAACCTTTAGTTTGTGTACCTGGGAATATAAGGGGGTCAACCACAAATCTTTCCTTCTTTTTTCCTTACTGATGATGCAGACAAAGTCCAACCCTAATTGGGTTTATCTATTGATTCCAACAAAAATCATTGGTTTTCTACTGATTTGGACACTTATGAGAATGCTAAGTGTATCCTTCCATGCTACTGCTTGGCATTGCTTTGGGTCTAGCCTATTTATACTTCTTGCTTTGCTTCTAATGCTTATTATGGTCACTTTCTAGCCTGCTTACACTTCATGCTGAACAAAACTGTTTCCGTCTTTTTGTTTCTAAACCCGACATGGGTTTCTGGAATTGGTGTGTTGTACTTGTTTTTCCACTGTGGATGCATTTTTTTAACTATTTTATAAAGGATGTCTCGACTATCAAGTTTAGCTCTAGCCCGTAGAGTGCCAATAAAAGAAGAAGTCATAATGCATGAGCAACTATTTCATTAGGTCTTAGTTAAGGCATCCTTCGCAGGTGGTTGCAGTAATTTGCTCATTCTCCAACCTTCTCATAATTTATGTTAGTTTAGGTATCAAACTAGCTGACTTATACAAAAACATTACCTGAATCGACGACTTAGTAGGCAACCAATGGACACCTACTTGCAGAGACACTATGATAGACAAAGGCACCTTAGGAATGCAACTAAAATGACTGATATTGATACTTTCGACCAAGTTAGGATGAATGGTAGCTTATCTAGAAAGTTCTGTGAACTTCTTGTTAGTGAAGGTGGGCTAAAAAGAACTAGGAATGTAGATATAGACGAGATGGTTTATATCTTTCTTCAAACTATTTCACAGAACGAGAAAAATAAAACCTTACGCCTGAATTTACGTCGTTCGAGAGAGACAATATCTCGAACAATTCACTGCGTACTGCGGGCTGTTATTAGGCTCAACAACTTACTTATGAAGAAGCCGCTTCCCATTCCCGACAATTACCAATAGTAGGCGGAAACATTTCAAGGTCAGCCCCTGATTTCTTTCTCCAATACATTCCATCTTTTGTTTTGTTTCTGTCAATCAACCCCTGAAAGTCTTGTTTCAATGTTGTGTTAGAAATGTCTTGGAGCTCTAGATGGAACTCATATTGATGCCCGGCCATTAAAAGAGGATCGAACTAGGTGTCGCGATAGGAAGGGTGATCTTTCCATTAATGTGTTGGGTGTTTGCAAACCCAACTTGGAATTTATCTATTGTTTATCTAGATGGGAGGGGTCTGCCCATGACGGAAGAGTTTTGCGTGATGCCCTTACTAGGGAAAATGGTCTTACTGTGGCATCAGGTAATACTATAGTTAAGTTTAACAGTTAGATACAAAATTACAGTCCTAAATGAACCACTTAATAACATTTAAAATTGTTTATGTATTGAAGGTTGTTATTATCTAAGTGATGTAGGGTACGCAAATAGCCCGGGATTTTTAACCCCCTATTGTGGTCAGCGGTATCATATAAAACAATGGGGTGCAAATCGACCAGAAACAGCCGAGGAATACTATAAAATGAAGCATACTTCGACTAGAAACGTCATTGAGCGTATTTTTTGGATTATGAAAATGTGTTGGGCAATACTTAGAGGGTCGTCTTGGTTCACTCCAAGAGAGATTACTCGTATTATTGTTGCATGTTACATAACTTATAATTTTATAAAGAGGGAACACAGGGCTGATTCGTGTGAGTTGTGTTATGAAGATGAATAACAAGAACTACATGAAGCAATTGAGGCGGAGATTATTGAGACTTCCGGCTTGCAGCCATGTGCAGCTTGGACCCAATTTAGGAATGACAAAGCAG